CGCATATATTCCACCACATGACGCGGTGTAGCGCGAATCATTGCCACAGGAGGCTGATGCCGGGCCAAATACTGACTGAAATTGTTCCAATCCCGCTGCTTCTGCGCGTCATACTTGTTCGCCGGTCGCGTCTGCTGGCCCTGCAACCCCGTCTGCCCAAACCCAGACACCACAGCAGCAGCACTTGGGGACTTGGGATCGCCAGGACGAAGCGGAGCAAGCGGGGGAACAGAGGGGGCGGGCGTGAGGGGTGTCTGCAGCGGCTGCTGCTGGTGCTGCATGTCTAGGAGCATGGAGAAAACGCCACTTGCGGAAGCACCGTTAGAAACGACGGCGGTGGAGCGATTTCCGGTGCCAGTCCCGGATTCCAGACCAGCGCCCTCCTCGACTTTGACCGTCACCTCGTTTTGAGCTGCCCCATTTTTAGCTGTGCCGTTTTGAGCCGCCTTGGTTTGAGCTTCGGTTGGAGTCGCTTCGTCTTGAGCTGCTTCGGTTCGCGCCGCTTCGGTTTGAGCTGCTTCGGTTTGCGCCGCTTCGGTTTGAGCCGCTTCGTTCTGAGCTGCTTCGTTCTGAGCTGCTTCGTTTTGGGCTGCTTCGTTTTGGGCTGCTTCGTTTTGGGCTCCCTGGTTGTCCTGAACAGCCGGAACATTCAGATTATTGTCCGCTTGTCCTAGAAAACTCTCCTGAGCTTGATTGGTAGTTGCTTCAGTTGCAACTGTTTCATTTGTAACCGCTTCGTTTGTAGCTGCAAATCCACCACCATGACCCCCTCCTGATAGTCCGCCTTGCAAACTCCCTTGAAGCGGAACCTCGTGCGCCGCGTCTTCCGCTGCCAGCGACTCATGGAGCGCAGCTTCCCTTCCGCCATGGGTCAACTGCTGCGTGAACGTCTGATGCTGCTGGGTGAACGTTGGTTGCTGCTGAGTAAAAGCTGGCTGCTGCTGCTGCTGCTGAGTGAACGTTGGCTGTTGCTGCTGAGTGAACGTTGGCTGTTGCTGCTGAGTGAACGTTGGCTGTTGCTGCTGAGTGAACGTTGGCTGTTGCTGCTGAGTGAACGTTGGCTGTTGCTGCTGAGTGAACGTTGGCTGTTGCTGCTGAGAGAATGTTGGATTCTGCTGGGTGAACGTTGGATTTTGTTGAGATCCTCCGCCATGGATCGGCTCATGAGTCAACTGCTGAGTGAACGCAGAATGACGCGCCGCTTCTTGGATCAACTGTTGTGTTAACGCCGCGTGCAGCGACGATCCCCCCTGCAACGCCTCATGAGCTTGCGTCGAGTATGGCGCCGAGAATTGCGCCGCGTATTGCGCTGATCCAGAAAAAAACGGCTCGTGTGTTGACGCCCCCGTATTTGCCGGCTCAGTGCCCGTGTTTTCCGCCTGCAGCTGTGAAGCGAGAAGCCCGTCGCGGTACGCTCGGAACACGGCTTGGGCGAACGGATCCGCCATTGCGCGGCCGAAATCGTTGAGGCTCAGATGTTGGTCGGTCAAGTTGATTCTTTTCCTGCACAGGCGACATCGGGACGACGAGGATGCAGGTTAGACTCGAAACGGACCTGGGAGGGAAGGATTCATGAAACTTCAACCAACGGAAAGACAGAAATCTAGGAAAGAACGTCGATTGGAGCTACACAACGGTGAGAATACTTGAAGTGATAAAAGCCTGATCGGGGGTGTTGATGGGTCTTTGAGCTTGGGAGTGTACCTGATCGGGCTATAGCTACAGTGATTACAGGTGTAGCCGCTGGTCACTTCCCAAGACAGCGGGAATGGTGATCAAAGCTAATAGAGAGGGAGGTACACGGCGAAACCCCTAAAGGGACGAGCTACACCAGGAAGGCAAGAGCTACACCAGCAGCGAGAGGTACACCAAGGGAGCTCCCATCGCAAGAAGAGCTACACGCAGCAGGCTGGAGTTATCTACACCAGGCGAGGAGGTTCTTGACTTGAGCGTCGGTGGATGAAAGAGAAACGATTGAAACCCTAGGCGGAAGAAAGTGGAGGGGGAAAGGGGGGAAACGCGCGGAACCGATGAGCGCAAACGTTTGAGACGGGGGGCAGAGTTGTATATTCAGGAATTTCCAGAAAAGGAATATAACCAAGGTGCGGCTCACCATCATCGGACACTTGGGGTTTCGAAAAATCCCAATACAGTAACGAGGTGACTGGTGGAACAATCCCGCAAAGGTAGAGTCGTCAAAGCAGTTTGTTTCGCTCCACCAGAAGGGCAGTGCCCCAAAGTTCATGGTTGCAAGATGAAACTGTTGCCCGTACCTTCCCCCCTCACCTTCAAGCGGAAAACCGTTCAGCGTGCTCGGGTGGGTACAGAGAGCAAAGCGTCCAACCGTTCGATATGCCCTTCCCCACCCAGCTCACCCGGAATCGTGTCCGTCCATAAATCTGTGAAATCCGCTCTACTCGTTTGTGATGGCCTCGGTCCACTCTCCAGTGCAATGAGTGCAGCTCAATTTCTCTCACATGAGGTTTTGTTATTAAATAATCAAAAGGTAAAACAACCACCTTCACTCTTCAACGTTGCTAGAAGAATGGGTAGGGGAATTCAAAACAAACTGCATGCGTGGAGAGACATGTTATTAGAGGAAAAGAAATTGTTTCCATTCCAAGAGACGTCCTGAAGAACCAACTCTTAAGGCACTAAGCAAAGGCAGATGCATTGTTGGCCGCATGTATTTGGGCTGACGTTTCATATTAGGCCTCCCTGATTCCAAGAAAAAAAACATCCCCCCTGTATTATGGGTGCAAATTTTTCAGAGGTTTGCTACTCTGCCAAAAAACATCCCCCTGTATTATGGGTGCACATGCGCTGCCGAGCACTCCTTGCGTCAAGGGTCGGCTTCGCGCCACTCCTTACTCCTCCTCCCTTCGTCGGGCCGCCGCACCCTTCGCCCAAATGGAGACTATCTGTGGTCGTCCTGTCAGTTGTTTTCACTCTGACCGTGGGGCGAGTTTCGCTCCGGCATTTTTGCCGGATTTTGTCGTGAGCAGGGCATCACCCAGTCCTGGACGCTTCCAGAGTCCCCACAGCAGAATGGGGTTGCTGAGTGCCGCATTGGCTTGGTCATGGAGATCGCTCGCACCTCCATGATCCATGCCTATGTGGTTTGCTACACCGCACACCAGTTGAACCTTTGGCCGCGTGTCTCACAGCCAGAGGCTTCACCGACCAGTCTTTGGACCAGGTCCCCTGATGTTGCGTCGGAGTTTCGTACCTGGGGCTGCCTTTCGCTTGTCCACGACACATCTGCATACAAGCTCTCGGCCCGCGCCCTCCCTTGTGTTTTCCTTGGTTTCCAAATGGGCTCCTCTGACTACACCATTTACCACCCACCCCTCCGCCAGTTTCTTGACTCCTGTGACGGCACTTTTGACGAGTCTGTGTCCTACTACACCCGTCGGTTCCCCCCCCTCCCCTTTTTCTCGCCCCCTCTCCTCCTCCTACTCCCGCTCCTCCGGTACACCCACCCCCCCCTGGTCCTGCCCCGTTTGGTGTATCCCACGCTACCCCTCTACCCTCGGTAGCACGTCAGGTACCGTCTCCCTCCCCACACTCGTCGTCATAGTCACCGCAGCAGCCTTCGGCACTACCGTGACAGGTTACAGTAGACTCTGGGAATGTTGGTGCTGGGGGGCGCGGGCACTGGAGCTGCTAGTATTGAGGGTGCTAGGGTTGAGGGTGCTGGCGATGGAGATGCTAGTTCTGAGGGTGCTGGGGTTGAGGGTGTTGAAGCAGGAGGTGCTAGTTCTGAGGGTGCTGGAGCTGAGGGTATTGGGATAGGAGGTGCTGATTCTGGGGGTGCTCGAGCTGAGGGTGCTAGCACTGGAGGTGCTAGTTCTGAAGGTACTAGTTCTAGGGGTGCTGGAGCTAGAGGTGCTAGTTTTGGGGGTGCTGGACCTGTCGGTGCTAGCACTGGGGGGTGCTAGTTCTGGAAGTGCTGTTGATGAGGGGATTGGAGATGGAGGCACTACTTCTGGGGCGCCTGCTCCGCGTTCCCACCGCTACCCGACACATCTCCAGGAGCTTCATCGGCTGAAGCGTGAGGAGCAGGAGAGGTTGGTGCAACAGATGTTGGAGCTGGAGCAGCAGCAGCGGGAGCTGTAGCAGCGGGAGCAGTATCAGCGGAGGCAGCGGCAGCAGGAGCAGCAGCAACAACTGCTGCAGCCGGAGCCGCAGCAGCAGCCGTCGCCCTTGCAGCCGTTGTCTCCACCTGTGAGTGGCCTTCGGGCCCTTGGTCTTCCTTCCCCTCCTCTAGACTGCTCATTGTCTCCTCGTGCTTGCGGTCCTACGTTTCCCCTCTGGACTTGTCTCTGGCTGTATTCTCTCCTTTTAGGTCACAGTCGTCTCCTCATTATGTCCCCGCACAACCTGACAGATCGGTTTCCTGCTCGTGCATGTCCCTCGTCTCATTTTGATGACCTCCGCACTGTCTTACTTTGTTCGAGTCCTCGGCGTTCTCCACCTCAGTCTGTTCTCCCGTCACCTCTTGAGTCGTCTCTTATAGCCTCCACCTCTACCTCTATTACTGACTACTACCATGCCAGTGTTCTTGCCTCTCTAGTCACGGAACAGTGTTACCAGTGTTCTTGCCTCTCTTGTCACGGACCCTCGTGCCACTCCGTCGTCTATCTTTGCCCTTACTGCTGCTGTCTCAGACTTTGCCGCCAGCCGCCTTGACTACGCCACCCGTGTGGTGGCTGCCCGTCCTCTAGACGTTGGGGGTGATTATACCCTTGGCTATGACAGGCAATTTGAGTTGGATTTCTTGAAGAAGACACAGCCTTTGACATACCGACTCCTCGCACGTACCGTGAGGCAGTATTAGGGTGGTGGGCCTCTCGGTAGATAGCAGCCATGGACTTAGAGATGACGTCTTGCGCAAAAAAAAACCTCTGTGGGTCCACAGCAAGAAATCAGGGCTGCTTTAAAAATTGCACATTTCTTTACACTACGGTATACAGCATGCTGGAAGTTTACTACACTATCTAGTGCACGAGCTTGTCAATGTAGAACACCTCCTCCACATCCTCATCGTCCAAGAAGAAGGGGTTGTCCTCCTCCTCCTCATCCCCCACGAGCTCTTGATTGTCGCCCCGGTCCTGTTCCACATCCTCCTCCTCCTCCTCCTCCTCCTCCTCCTCCTCCTCCTCCTCCTCCTCCTCCTCCTCCTCCTCCTCCTCCTCCTCCTCCTCCTTCTCCTCCTCCTCCTCCTCCTCCTCCTCCTCCTCCCCCTCCTCCTCCTCGTTCTGCCTAGCAGTTCCAGCAGCCTCGTCTTCACCCTCCTTCTCTTTCCCCTTCCTGTCACGCTCTGCCACGACCAGCTTCGCGCTCTTCGCAAGGCGCCTCCGCCTCATGGACCTCTAGAGCTCTAATGCTTCTGGCCAGTCGATGTCATACTTCAGGAGCGAGAACTGCATCAGCTCGCCCAGCCGCGCGTTGCAGAGCGTGCCTCGCAGCCATGACTAGATGACATTTTCCTGGAGAAACCCCTCTCGCACTCCACGGTTAACAGGGAGAGAACCGCAATCGCCAGCCACAGAAGGATGAGGTTGGGCCATCCCCTGCCAGGTACATTCAGGCAGCAGCACACAACGTGAAAAAACGTTAATGACATGCGCACTAACACGCAAAAATTGCGCTGGCCTGAGCAGAGCGTTACCTCTTCGAGTCTGCGCTCCCGAGAAAGTTGGTCAGACCCTGCGCTAAGCTCTCTAGCTTGTGGTGCGTCTCCATTATCGCACACAATGTCGGGAGCTCCCTTTCTGCGGCCTTGAGGTCGAATCCCGGCAGCTTGTTGCGGAAAAGCTTGTTGCGGAAAAGCTTGCTGCATCCCAGAAGCCACTCACGGCACTTCCGCTCCCGTTGAGCCTTGATATTCGGCCACTTCCCCGCCTGAAACAGCTTCGTCGGCCTGAGCTTCCCCAGGTCATCCAGACGCTCGTTGAGGTTGTCCACGCAATCGCAGGCGAACCTGCGGCACAGATTCACACACTCAGCGTAGGTGCTTCCGTACTTGTTCCCCGGGAGCTGCCTCTCGTGCAAGGTGTAGAGGTGGTTGATTGGGCGTCCCTCCCCGTCCACGCATTGCACCCGGACCTTCTTGCCTCCGCCTTGCCCGTGCAGCTGCAGAAAGCAGACCACCCAGCTCTTGGTCTCGCCATCAAACGGCTTGCCGTTCACCAGGTACCGCTCCGCCAGATCCGTCGTGGTGGACTCAATGGTCTTGGAAATGTCCGTCACATCCGACTGTCACAGTACGGCCACTGAGCACATGTTAGACAGTTTGCAACAGTAAAACAAACCCTGCCAAACAGAGGCCGACTCGCTATAGTAAAAAAAACTTACATCACGCTTTTGGAAGCAACGGTTGAGGTCGTTCCTATCGGCGAGGATGCCGACGAGGAAGAACAGGCAGAACTGGAACTTGTAGCTCGTCACAATCTTGTACGCCTTGTGGATGTTCTCCCAGAGCAGAACGATGCAAGCGCCCATGACCTTGCATAGCCGATGCACCACATCCCCTCGTGACAGCCACCGAATCGTGTGGATCCCCTGGACTTCAATGTTCGTGTTGTAGATCACTCGATGCAGGTACTTGAAGCGTTGATTCCAGATGCACGACTTCCCGAGCTCTGCCGCCATGGTTCGCACCACCTTGTCCACCATATCCAGGTCCGGATTTGATGTCACAGCGTCCTTCACAGCCAGAGCCTCCCTGTTGGACGCAGGGGACATAACACAGCACGTGTGATTTAAACAAGTGATATGTACATCGCATCTTGACGACTTGCAAACTCAACGGTGGGCGATGCAGTGATAGGAAAAGAGATGCAGGACATGTTTACGAATCTGCGCCACCAATCCGTTATCCTTCCCCAACATGACCGACGCCCCGTCCGTACTGACTCTCACGATCTTGGACACATCGACGGCTGACGCATGGAGATGATTCAAGAGCACCTCGAATAGAGACGCTGCATCACACTTCTCAACTGTCAGCAGGGTGAAGAACTCACAGGCGGCTCGACGATTCTTAAAAAATGTGACGTAAACAATCATATGTTTCCCTCGCGTTCGGTCGGTGCTCTCGTCGCAGCTGAGGCCCAAGAATGGAGAAGATTGGATGTGGTCCATCTGCACCCGCGTCAGGTAGGTACTGATGCTGTGAACCATCTGCTGGAAGCCGTAACTGCACATGTTTGTAAGTCACATTGTAAGCAATAAAAGAAGGAAACAATAAACGCAATACACGTAACAAAGCAACAATTAGAAACAACGTCATACCGAGTGAGATAGACCCCGTAGGATTGCCTCGGAATGACTCGCGTGTCCTGCTCCGCAAGATGCCGCATCAGCTTCGTGAACATGCTGATCGACGCGTCGCACTAGCACAGAAACTGAACCGACCGCATGAGTCGAATCGCGCGCCGCCCCTTGATGTCTGAGTTGATGAAGTTTGAAATCACCTGGAAGTGAAGGCGGCGGGACGGGGAGACTCGGTCGGAGTGGAAGTTTCTCTAGCCGCAGAGTCATAGACGGTGGTCCTAGGAGGATTGGGTGTAACTGGAGCATCGCTAGTTCTAAGAAAATCGAGCCCAGAGTGTCGAGCATCAGAAGCTTTCTCCGGCAGGGTGGGCTCCGTGGGTTTCGACGGTAACGGTGGCTCATTTGAGCCTGCTTGAGGAGAAGCATCATCGGCCTGCAGGCCTCTCATGGCGGCAAGAAAGAAGAGGGGGGGAGCGAGAGATGCCGAGAGAATGAATGAACAAAATGAAAATAACTGCAGCACATCCAGGACCCTGGCTGAGGGGAGGGGGAAGCAAGAGATGGTTGGAGAAGGCGGGGTCAGCTAGAAACCTCCGCGTCGCCACGAAATTGATGGCTCGATGCCCAAAACCTCGAGTCGTCAATGAATTCAGCCCTTCATGCAAGCCCGAATACATTGAAGGACTGCCTGTCTGCCAGCGCCTGTCAGAAAAAATAGGAGCGTGGCCTAGGCTTAGTAGCCTAGGCCACAGTAGGAGGTAGTAGGTTGTGCCCTAGGACTAGGGTTTGGGGTATACGAAGGAGAATTGGAGAAGTGAGAATGGGAATGATGATTGAACTAGCAAGCAGCAGGATACATATAGGAAACCCTAAGGGGTTGTACTCACTATTGAGCACCCCACTGCAGGCTAGACAAATAACATAATCTGACACACCCCCATAGCCAAAGTGGGGTGTAATCAGCACACGTGAGAAGTCACAGCAATAGTTCACAATTATCAGCAAAGCTAGTGGCAGTCACAGGAGGCCAGTGAGGAGGAGGAGGAACTGTGGAGGGAGAGAAGAGAGGAGGCGACGACTGAAGTTGCAGACAGGAGCACCAGGCTGCAACCTCCTCCAACTGTCTCACTCCCCCCTACACACACCCCCAGGGTCACCACTCGCTCCACGCCCACATCACCCCCCTAGCGCCACTCCCTCGTCTCCCACACATCCACCCCCCTCAGCAGCAGCTGCAGCAGTGGGAGACGGAGGAGAAGGAAGGGGCGACGCACACGGAGCACCCCCACACCCGCCACCCCCACACCCTCCTGTCCAGGGGACCCAGCGGGGGGGGGGGGGAGGGCCGGGGCGGGAGAGCGCACGAGGGCGCAGGCAACCGCGCGTGCAGAGCAACAGCGCGGAGCAGGTAGGGTAGAGCGCACGAGGGCGCAGGCAACCGCGCGTGCAGAGCAACAGCGCGGAGCAGGTAGGGTAGAGCGCACGAGGGCGCAGGCAACCGCGCGTGCAGAGCAACAGCGCGGAGCAGGTAGGTAGAGCGCACGAGGGCGCGGGCAACCGCGCGTGCAGAGCAACAGCGCGGAGCAGGTAGGGTAGGGCGCACAAGGGCGCGGGTGAGACTGAGCGCGACTGCACAGGGTCCAGGAGCGGCGTCGCGGGCAGCTGCATGGTCGGCTGCTGCTGGTGCGGTTGCTCCAGGGGCGGCGACTGAGGTTCTAGGGGCGGCTGCACCAGGGGCGGCTGCTCCACGGGCGGCGTCGCGGGTACAGGGGCGGCTGCACCAGGGGCGGCTGCACCAGGGGCGGCTGCTCCAGGGGCGGCGGCGCAGGTTCTAGGGGCGGCTGCACCAGGGGCGGCTGCTCCACGGGCGGCGTCGCGGGTACAGGGGCGGCTGCACCAGGGGCGGCTGCTCCAGGGGCGGCGGCGCAGGTCCAGGGGCGGCTGCACCAGGGGCGGCTGCTCCCTGGGCGACGGCGCAGGTCCAGGGGCGGCGGCACCATGGGCGGCTGCTCCAGGGGCGGCGTCGCGGGTCCAGGGGCGGCTGCACCAGGGGCGGCGGCGCCAGGGGCGGGGTGGCGAGTCCAGGGGCGGCTGCACCAGGGGTGGCCGCTCCAGGAGCGATGGCGCTGGCGCAGGGGCGGCTCGCGCGCTGTTGCAGGGGCGGCGTCGCGAGCTGCTGCAGGGGCGGTGTCGCGAGCGACGGGCGACGGGGGGAGAGCAGCAGGCGGGCCCCCGGAAGGCGCCGCGACGACCAGTGACGGCGCCCAGGGGGGGTCGCGTCGTGTAGGGGCGACGCCGCGCGGGTCCCGCAGGGGTGTCGCGACGAGCAGGGCGACGCCGCGCGGGTCCCGCAGGGGCGTCGCGACGAGCAGGAGCGGCACCCAGGGGGGGCGCCGCGACGAGCAGGGGCGGGCCCCCTGAAGGCGCCGCGCCATGCGACGGCAGGGAGCAGCACGCAGGCCCCCCGGAGGGCGCCTCGACGGACGGGATAACCGCCGCGCTCCCCGAGCGCGCGGCGGGTAGAATAAGCCGCCACACGCTCGAAGCGCGTGGCGGGAAGAAAAATCCAGTGCCGCGCACCACGGAGCGCGCGGCGAACAGTAGGGCAGCGGAAGCAGTTGGTGGGCCCGTTGAGCTAGGCAGCAGGATCTTGCCCGCTCTAGATACCATGTCAGAAAAAATAGGAGCGTGGCCTAGGCTTAGTAGCCTAGGCCACAGTAGGAGGTAGTAGGTTGTGCCCTAGGACTAGGGTTTGGGGTATACGAAGGAGAATTGGAGAAGTGAGAATGGGAATGATGATTTGAACTAGCAAGCAGCAGGATACATATAGGAAACCCTAAGGGGTTGTACTCACTATTGAGCACCCCACTGCAGGCTAGACAAATAACATAATCTGACAGCACCGACTGTCAAGATGCCTCTCTGGCCAATGAGCGATACATACTGTGCATTGCGCGGTGCGCGTGGCAATAAACCATCATGTTTCTGGTTGCGCTACCATAGCTGATAGCTGTGCTATGCAGCGGTGCTGTACAACGGAGCGTGGTGTTACTTGTCCGATTACGTCAATACTGCGCATGAAAGGGGTCCTTCACATGGGTGCAGGCGAAATCATGATTGCGCACATGGGGGGTTATCGGGACGAAGTTTCCGGAAAGCTTCGTCCCGATACCGTCGCATTCAAGGTCTGATACACACATACTTTGTATTGACAGTGTCCATAAGAACACTACTCTGAGAGTGTATACAAAATTTTAGGGTCGCTGAAGTATTACTCTGACTGGATCAGTATTCAAAAGTCGTTAAATATGAAATTACAGGGACCATAAGGTGACAAGTCTGAAATCACCCTGAAATCAGGGTAATTACCCTGATAAAATCAGCCTTGGCATGTATTTATCTTCCTCTCAATATCATAGCTCTCAATCTGGAAAAATGAAGAGAGGTGGAAATCACAACTTTGTGGTGATCGAGCCTTAATGGTTGTCCAATTAGCTTGGATAGCAATAACAATAAATATGTTAGTACTACCAGCAAAGTCAATACACGGTGTTACAATCCCAAGTGGGACTTAGCCAGGGATCGGCTCAGGGTTGTTCGCATGTGGTGTTGCAGCGGAAGTGTTGACCTCAGGTCAGAGTGAATGTAAAATGACTGAGATGATAATAGCATGCATACATCGAGTTTATATAGGAAATACAGGGAATACGAAAAGTCCTAGAGTAGCCATGTACTCTAAGGGGTACATTCCCTTATTAGAGCGAAGTTCAAACCGTGCAGCGCGGGAACCTGTTTCAAACCTGTTCCCGCTCTTTTCACTTCAAATGTTAACTGCCTGCATCGGTTTTGATCTGACGGTTGCTGGCGTCGCTTCGACTCTTCTGACGCCTCGACTTCGTACTCGGTAGAGTCGGCTCCTGCAGCACACAGGAATGCCTTCTCATTGGGTTTCATATCGTAACACTCCCCTTCATTCCTGGGCGCGCATGGGGCTGACTCCCTTGACTACTACGGTGAGGTCGGAGCAGTGTTTGTACTGCTGACGTGGCAGTCGCTTGGTGAGGAAGTCGGCTGCCATCTCAGTGGTGGGGCAATATGCGAGGTCAACCTTGCCTTGGTCAATTTCGTCCTTGACGGAAAGGTATCGGAGTGCAATGTGCTTCATGCGGTTCATAAACCCCGGTTTGTTCGCAATCTTGATAGCGCTCTGGTTGTCGTAGTGAAGGCAAAATGTGGACGAAGTTGGAATTTTCGCTTCTAACCTGTAGCAGCTCTTGCAGGTACAGGCCTTCGCGAACTGCTGCTGTCGCGGCGATGTATTCTGCTTCGGCCGATGACAGGGCAACCAGTTCCTGCTTCTGTGAGTTCCAGGAGATTGGTCCAGTTGGTTCCAAGCAAAAGACAAAGCCGGTTCGTGACTGTCGATTCGCAGGGTCAGCGGCATGATCTGCGTCCACGTAGCCGTTGAGAGTGAAAGAGGTTGTCGTTAGCATGAAGTAGGAGAGCCCGATGTCAGGTGTGGAGATGAAGTACTGCAGGGCGCGCTCCAGGTCCAGCTGGTTCTCGACTATTGGCTTGCGGAAGTATTGTGCCAGTTGGCTGGCGATGTACGAAAGGTCGGGTCGGCATGTGACAGAGGCGAACAGCAGGCACCCCAGTTGCTGCTGGTACAGTTGGAGTCCTGCGGGCGTCAGAGGTTTGTTGTCCGGTTGGTAGCTGACGCTGGGGTTGCGTTAAGGAGTGGAGAGTGGTGCGGGTGAAATGTTGAAGCGTTCCCCCAGCTGCTCTGCGTACTTGGAGGCTGACAGTTGAATTGCTTCTGGCGCGAAGGTGATGTTCAGCCCCAAAAACTGTGTGACGTTGTGGTTGATGGTGATGTCCACGCGCTGCGCCAAATTCTCCTCGAACTGGTTAAGGAGTTTGTTGCAGGTGCAAGTGTAAAGCACGTCGTCGACGTAGACAGTCAGGAGGATGTAATCGCCGTTGAAGTGGAGGCGGTACATTCCCGGGTCGTGCGGCAGCTGCCTGAAGCCGATTTCGAGTAGGATTTTGTGCAGGTGCTGCTGCCAGAGACGCGGCGCCTGTTTTATCCCGTAGAGGGATTTATTCAGCTGACAGACCCTGGGGTCTCCTTCCCCGTAGGTGTGTGGCTGTTCCACGAAGATGGTTGTGTCTACCAGCGCGTATAAGAACGCATTCTTAACATCGATCTGGCGTAGTGGTAGGTGCTTGGTGGCAGCTATGGCGAGTAGAATCGTGACGGAGGTGTGACGACTGACGGGAGCGAAGGTTTGATCGAAGTCAATACCGTGGCGCTGGTCGTACCCGCGTACGACCCAACGTGTTTTGAAGCGCTCGATAGTACCGTCAGCGTTGGCTTTCAAGAAAAAGACCCACTTTCCGCTTAGCACCCTCCTCCCCTTCACTGCTGCACGATCGACGAGAACC